CCAACTAAGAACGGCCATGCACCACCACCCACAAAATCAAGAAAGAGCTCTCAATCTGTCAATCCTTATTGTGTCTGGACCTGGTGAGTTTCCCCGTGTTGAGTCAAATTAAGCCGCAGGCTCCACTCCTGGTGGTGCCCTTCCGTCAATTCCTTTAAGTTTCAGCCTTGCGACCATACTCCCCCCAGAACCCAAAGACTTTGATTTCTCGTAAGGTGCCGAGTGGGTCACTAAAAAAACACCACCCGATCCCTAGTCGGCATAGTTTATGGTTAAGACTACGACGGTATCTGATCATCTTCGATCCCCTAACTTTCGTTCTTGATTAATGAAAACGTCCTTGGCAAATGCTTTCGCAGTAGTTAGTCTTCAATAAATCCAAGAATTTCACCTCTGACAATTGAATACTGATGCCCCCGACCGTCCCTATTAATCATTACGATGGTCCTAGAAACCAACAAAATAGAACCAAACGTCCTATTCCATTATTCCATGCTAATATATTCGAGCAATACGCCTGCTTTGAACACTCTAATTTTTTCAAAGTAAAAGTCCTGGTTCGCTGCGCACCCACAAGGAGCACACAGTTAGCCAGAAGGAAAGGCCCGGTTGCATCCCAGTACGTGGAAAAATCCAGACCGGTCAACCAGGCCCAAAGTTCAACTACGAGCTTTTTAACTGCAACAACTTTAATATACGCTATTGGAGCTGGAATTACCGCGGCTGCTGGCACCAGACTTGCCCTCCAATTGTTCCTCGTTAAGGTGTTTACATTGTACTCATTCCAATTACAAGACCCAAAAGGGCCCTGTATCGTTATTTATTGTCACTACCTCCCTGTGTCAGGATTGGGTAATTTGCGCGCCTGCTGCCTTCCTTGGATGTGGTAGCCGTTTCTCAGGCTCCCTCTCCGGAATCGAACCCTTATTCCCCGTTACCCGTTGAAACCATGGTAGGCCACTATCCTACCATCGAAAGTTGATAGGGCAGAAATTTGAATGAACCATCGCCGGCACGAGGCCATGCGATTCGAAAAGTTATTATGAATCATCAAAGAGCCCGAAGGCATTGATTTTTTATCTAATAAATACATCTCTTCCAAAAGGTCGAGATTTTAAGCATGTATTAGCTCTAGAATTACCACAGTTATACCACGTAGTAAAGGAACTATCAAATAAACGATAACTGATTTAATGAGCCATTCGCAGTTTCACTGTATAAATTGCTTATACTTAGACATGCATGGCTTAATCTTTGAGACAAGCATATGACTACTGGCAGGATCAACCAGATAACTATCTTTCGTTGCTGCAGAGCCGCCGCAGTCTGCCCCGCCCTCCAGGAGAACCCTGGCACGCACGCAGCCCCCGGCTTCCCTCCAGCCTCGCAGATAACCAACTGAATCGAACACTAAAGTTCGCAGTAACCGGCGAGCATCGCTGCTCTCCTCCGGCTGCAGAGCACCGTACGCGCACGCAGTTCGACCCACGCACGCAGCTGCACCCTCACCGAACTTGGATTACATAACAAACCAATTCCAGATAGCACTCTTTGAGTTCCCCCGAGCGCAGTCCGCAAAACTGTGTCGCCCCGATCTTGCACGCAGCAACACGTTTCGCATCAGCACCCTGAGAGGAGGTTGCCCCAGGAAATCACAGTCTTGCGACCGGCTATCTCCCCAAGCATTCCCCCAATTGCCGAATTCTTTGAAACAGATTGCTAGAAGCTAGTAATCCACCAAATCCTTCGCTGCTCACCTGCCGGAATCACAAGACGCCCGCGATGAGACTCTTCGGGTTCCTGTCTGCAGCACACTTGTCTCCTCAAACCGAAAGCCTCGGTCCACCCCAGCATCGGCAAAAACCGCTTCCCGCACTCGCCACTCACGCATCCCGCCCCAAACCCCCTCGTCCCAGCTCCTTTCGCCGCCCAATCTCGCACACGCACACCTCAGTCGCGCCCCTTCCCTGACGCCAGCTCTGCACAACACACCATCAGAAAACTACGCATTGCTGCTTCGTCCTCCTCAGGCTTGCCACACATCCCCTTTGCCAGGTTCAGATCGCTTCCTCAGCACACACGCACAAGACCAGACTGCTCCATTCGCCAGAACTCAAGGCCCCAGAACAAAACACACTCGCAGTCCGCACAAGTCGCCGTCTCTTCCTCAGCCAGAGCGTCTCGCAGCTCTCCATTCTCAGAAACGCACGCACCCCAGACTCTCACCCATGCCAACACACGCTGCAGGGAACTGAGCAGACCTCACGATCACCCAGAGACCCCCGCCACCGCTTGGCCAGGCCATGTAAGAAATAGACAACCAGCACTTGGCCAGTCGTCCACAGTTCTACAACCGACACGCCGTACTCGAGCCTGTTTCCAAACCCTTTTCGACTTGTCTTCAACTGCTTTCGCATGAAGTACCTCCCGGCACATTTTCCCTGCAAATCTATCGCTGCTGCGTTTTGTCCCCACATTACCGTGTACCCGCGGTCTGCCCCCTCACTCCCTCCCCTTTATAGTGGCGCCTGTCACGTGAATATACTGTAACAGGCATTTAGGGGCGTCTCCCCTAAAATACACTTTTTTGTCCTTTTTATGTTTTCTATGTTTTGTGCTTTGTACCCACTCTACGTGCTGGCGCCAGGTCTTTTCTTTACTGCTGCAGCTCCCTGCCCTTTTTTTGTTTTTCTCACCTCCCGCCTTCGCTGTCTGGTAGCTGCCGTGGTGGGAAAAACTCGAAAATTAAAATCTTCGATGCCCCTGCCGGGATTCGAATCGCCGCCGCCTCCGAAAAAGGAAACCGCCGTGCAGCACGACACAGGTATCCTGCACGTGATAGTCACGTGGAAGTCACGTGAAGGGCAAAACGGCCTCCTGGCACCCCCACTAGGTGGCATGCAGGGGTATTCGGACCCCCTCATTGTGGATCTGCACATATCATTCCCTGTTTCCCAGGTATTTCCCCCAATATGCCGGGGAAAGAGGTGCATTTTGGTATGTTTTTGGTGTGTATTTGCTGCTTAGTACAGGTAAACTGCTGCTGCTATGGTGTAGAGATATACTTTTGGAAATGTAGTTTGTCTGTG